ATCTCAACAATTTTATACCCTATCTAGGTTTTGTGTAGGTTGAATTTCCATTGTATTATACATCGGTTAAATACCAGCTTCTAAAGTAGGTAGGTATCTTCTATTGTCTATAAATATAGGTGAGGTACACATTTTAATATTTAGCTATCAGCAGCTAGATGCGACTATAGAACGTCTCAATTTTGAACTTCGTATCATCGATCGATCGATCACATACTACCTAATCAACAACTACAACAAAAAGGATTACGTTAATTTTGTTTTGTCTGCTTACAGGAAGGTCCAAATGAATTGAAGGTGTCATTTTTGTCACCGATAGCGGCAGCGAAAGCTCGGTCCGACAAGCACTTCGCAGCTCCTGAGTGCGTGCCTTCAGTGTACAACGGGGAGTGCCATGTTAATCAGATCAGAAAGATGCAAGCATCGTTTAGTTGGGATTGGGGACCCGCATTCCCATCTGTTGGAATTTGGTGAGTCTTTTCTTATAGACAACTATGGCCGAGTCAGCCAAGTATCATCAGCCAAGTCACGAACTTAGAGCCATTGAGGGCTCGGCTGGCAATTACCACTTCGATTAAATGCACATAGCATAACGCTGTAATTGTCTCATACTATGGTTGTCTTTCATTGTCCTTTCTTCTTAATGCTCATGTCTATTATAAAATCATATTGAGAAACACCCTTGTCTTTATTCTTTTTATATCATGGTGTAAATAAACAATTCGATTATCTTTATCCAAATAGAATTTATCTGTTGTCAGATAACTCCTGTTTATATATGATGAGAGTTTTGTTTATGCATTTTTATCATAAACCAATAGTTTTTTATCGTAAGTAAAAGTGAATGATTATTGTCGACATAAACATGATTAAGGATTTATATGAGGTACAGAGTTAATTCACTTGATTTCGAAAATCGCAATAATACTTCGAATAGAACATTAAACCTTTATGTATTTGCTATAAAATTGTAAATTAGACCCTAATACAAAATCACCTCATTTCAGGAGACCAGTTTACATAGAAGCTTATAACGCGGCTATTCTAAGATCAGTGACAACGCACATAACGAAAAAGGAAGAAGAATGGGCATTGGTAATAAAAGTCTATTTTGAAACAAGTATGAAGAAAACGCAAATCACTGGAATACTCAGTGCCACACTGGAACTAGAGGGAAAACAGACAGTGAAGAAATGGATACCTGTGTATGAAACAAGCCAAACTGATGGAACCTTTGTAGTAGACCTCGACCTCAAAGTTAGTGAGGTAAGGGAGCTAAGTTCGATATATTTTAAGAGGGTAATATTTAATAATATTTAATATTTAAGAGGGTAATCTATGCCAAACACAAGATAAATTAATTTCAGACTACGTGCTATCACATGACAATTAACATTTGAATGATTCAAAATAATTACTTGGGGTATTAGACCGAAGAATGTAACCTAGCAATGGCCGAAACGATAAGACGATTTTAATTAAAAAGCTGGATCGATTTATTGAGAGAAGTTCAATAGAACTAATGTTAACAACTAAGATCGGATATCAAGTTCGGGCGCAAGATCGATTAATAAGATATTCTATATTTTCTGTTTTATTTTTACAGAACCAAGTCAGGACGTGGTGGCCAAACGGTTATGGTGAGCAGCCTCTTTACGAGTTGGTTGTCCATTTTGTATCAGACACGTATTCGAACGAGTCCTCACACAAAAGTATAATGGTAGGATTCCGAACTGTGGAGCTAGTTCAAAGAGACGCGGCAGAAGTACTAGGTAAGATGTTCAACCACTAAGACAAGTTTTAACATAACATTATTTCTGGGATTCTATTCTAGTCTGCTCTATCTGTTGTCCTTTGTTCTTTCTACCAACGGGGTGATAAACATCGGTATATAATCCCGAATAAGTATATCGATACTGAACCGAGATATGTACTAAAAACGACGTAATAATTAATTTAGCTGCAAATACATAGATGTTTAGTTGCCAACATTAAAAATATTTATTTAGACACAGACTTTTGAGTTAGAATCAAATCATTTTAAGAATTTAATGTATAAAATTATTAATTCATGAAACTAATTTATTTCCAGGCAACACCACCGCAGGAACCGGTCTAACGTTTTATTTCATGGTTAACGGCCACCCACTCTTCATGAAGGGATCGAACTGGATACCTTCCAATATCCTACCCGAACTGGGTGAAACTCAGACAGAAGTTGGTACGTATTCGTTCTTCTACAGTATCATTTCTTTAATGTTTGGGATAATGTTCATACCATAATCTTCTGCAAAGATTAGAGAGTAAACATAGTCATTTAGGGCAGTATAATAGTTTTTAACAGTTTGTAATCATCCTATGACGCATTGCAATGTTATGAAAGTAATTAAACTACTCTTCATATTCCAGTTGACAATCTTCTAAAGTCGGCTCGTGATGCTCACATGGCGATGCTCCGGGTATGGGGCGGTGGAGTCTATGAGTCCGACTACTTCTATGAGAAATGTGATCAACTAGGCATTCTTGTTTGGCAAGATTTTCTCTTCGCTTGCGCTATGTATCCTACAGACATTGACTTTATTAAGTAAGTTCATTCATTGTTTACTATTTAATTTGAAAATTTCATAGCTTTAAAGGACATCTCACTAGGTTTATAAAAGGTATTTAATAAATACGTATTAATAACTGATTTATAATCTAGCACAGTTCAAGAAGAAATAGAACAGAATATATTACGCCTGCAGCATCACCCCTCCATAGCTATATGGGCTGGCAACAATGAGAACGAAGCCGCACTTGTAGGAAATTGGTACGACACTACACCGAAATTTGAGAAATACAAAAATGAGTATATTAAACTTTATGTGGAGACAATAAGGCCTATTGTTCAAGACTTGGATCCAGGACGACGCTACTTGGTTTCCAGTCCATCGAATGGTCTTGAGTCGGAGCAAGAGAACTATATATCACATAATCCTTATGACCCTCATTATGGAGACACGCATTACTACAATTATTTAGCAGATAACTGGAACATGATGACGTACCCAAAAACGAGGTTCGCTTCAGAATATGGCTTCCAATCTTTACCTTCTCTTGTGACCATGAGGACTGCGACGAATAATTCCAAAGACTTCAGTTTAGACAGCCATTATTCAATTCACAGACAACATAGCCCGAATGGATATTCTTTCATTGAATTACAGATGAATAGTCGCATGAAGTTACATAAGGATGACCCAAAATATTTCGAGAAATTCGTTTTTTATAGTCAGGTAATTTATATATTAAATAAAAGGACAAGTTTAAGGTTTGACAGGCCTACAAATATAATTTGGAGCATTCAAATCTTAAACTTGAACCACTCTTTAGAAGTTTAGATCAAAGAGTAGTCCCAATGTTGAGCACGTAATGTATTTACTTGTTCTTATTTCTAGATATCCCAGGCAATGGCGATAAAGACTGAGACAGAACTGTATCGACAAGATCAAGCGAACTGGTATACAATGGGTGCTCTGTATTGGCAACTAAATGACGTGTGGCAGGCACCCTCCTGGTCGTCGATTGGTGAGATCAAATGCACGTTTTTATCGAGAGTGCTCTGTGCTACTTAAGTCATGAAACTTAATGTATTTTTTTGTTTACAGAATACACTGGAAGATGGAAAATGCTTCATTATTTTGCTAAAGATTTTTTCGCGCCAGTACTGGTGTCTCCTCGTTTAGACTCGACCGGCGAAATGGAAGTGTACTTAATCAACGACAGATTTGTGCCAGTACTGGACGCTAAAATCACGATACAATTCTATAACTGGAGCAGCCCCTCTCCTATCCTTACCAAACAATATCCCGCGAGTTGTGAACCTTTAACTGCGACATTGCTACGAAATATAGACGGCACATTTATGGATTATAAAAGAGAAGAAATATTTGTCAAGTTTTCTTTGCTAGCGACTGGAGTTCGATCCCCATCGAACTACGTGTTCCCAGTGCCTTTGAAACACGTAACGACCTTGAAGAAACCGCATATAGAGGTTAGTATCTAGATTTATTTGCTTAATAAAAAACATGCTGATTGAATGCAAGTACAAGCTTAGTTCTCAGACGGATACACGTGGTTCAAAATATACAGGTCTTTTGCGACACTTTTCTTATTTTATCTCTGTTATTTTCCAGATACTGGTATCAAATTTCGTTATGAGACGACATCATCAGAATCTCGAATACACGGTCCAAATACGAGTAGACACAGTGGTGGCCTTCTTATGGCTAGAAACCGAACTAGAGGGCCGCTTCGAGGAGAATGGTCTCATCGTGACGGAACCCCAAATTATTGTCAAGTTCCTCTGCAAAGACCACGTGTCACCGAGAATACTGGAAAACTCCATCACGACGCAATATTATTTGAACTGATACGCTGCTGGTTGGCTGATTTAAAGGACCAATGTTATCATTGGTGCTTTAGATGTCCTGTCTTTGGACCCTGAAATACATTGTACATTACGACTCAATACCAAATACTTATTGTTTACTTTACAATACTTTGTTTTAATTTTAATAATAGTGTTTGTAGATTGCATACCCGCCTGTTCACAGTATGTCCACATAGATTTTACAGTAAGCGGAAACCCCTAAATCCCCAAGCGACACCGGTGACCGCTCTCCACTATCTATATTATAGACCTTATTTCCTATGTTTAGAGACTACTTTTGTATGAACAAATTTAAGGGATGATATTTCAACAGGTCTTGACATATCAGAGATCATTTATCACCCCATATTATTAGAAATTCAATACAGGAATACACCTTTAGGTGTAAGCATATGATACTCTAAGCGTCCGTCCGGATTCTAAAGTCCTTTTCTCAATATGTTACAATGGCGACTTTGTATGAGCTTGAACGATTTCAGTCGTACTCGAAAGGTATCGGTCAAACCCGTGTAATTAACTATCACGTAAGTACTTAACAAAGGACTGGTAGAAAAATAAAACCCACACAAAAAAGCAAATTAATATATTATAATAAGTTTTTTAGTTAACAATAATGCGAATATGCGTGCGATAATTACAAACTAATGAATACCTGCAATACAATATAGTACAACGACGCATCTAAATTAATCTTTTGGACGATTTTTCACGAACTGGTAAGGGCTTGATGATTTTAAGTACCAATACTTTATACCTATTATTTTTATATTAACGATTACATAGTCAATGGTAGTTTATAGATTTATGCACGTAGTTTATATAATGGGTGGATCTGGGTAGCTAGAATATTAAGTAACTTTAACACTGGCTTTAGATAATTCTAGGAAAAGTTTCTATGGAATGTTTAGTCCATACATTTCAACGCTAAAGTGCATGAGGAAAAACGCATTTTCCTTATGCATTTCAAATACACCGTTGCACGTGGACTTAAGGTAGAAATTTGATTAACATGGACAAATCGTAAAGCTACCCTTATTGTTTTATAGTTAAGATATCCGACGTCCAGGCGTAAATAGCGTTAGTTAATAATAAACAACAAAACGTGCTAACATTGAACTGAATTATACAAAATTGATACTTATTAAAAGCCAGAGCGTTTACAAAGGCCCTTACCTATAAGGCCAATAGTGCTTGGACCAACGGAGATTCACACAATAACATTTTAATATTTAAAAAAGCACCATTTTTAAAATCAACCGTCTTATATGGCGGCTTGTTTCACCACTTTGTTTTTTTTAATATTTGTCCTTTATCAATTTGTTTGTTGAATACGTCGACTAAGTCGGTTTATTATCTTCTCAAAGAAGCATGTCCGTCTTCAAAAGACACAAATTATTTAGTTTTAGTACCTATTAGTAATCAATAAACTAAACACAATGATTAACAGTCCAAATAGAAATTTTGCAAATTATTAAATTTCGGTCATAAATAAATGAGTGTATATTGGTAACGAGACAATATGAAAGAGTGGTGAAACATGCTCCTTCGAAGCATTTATGACAATGAATTTTCTATTAAAAACTTTACAAAAAATATTTTCATAAATTTGGCGTTTACACTGGCGTGCATTAAAAAACGGAAGACTTGTTTATCTATACATAATATGTTTTGTGTAAACAATAATTATACAATATTAATGGTTTTTTTTAATAAATATAAAGACTAGAGAAAAGGGTATCAGTCACTGTTTCATTAGATACTATTTTATTTAATGGAAGATGTGAAATAAATAATTTGATCAATTTATTTTAATTTAGCGAAGCTATAATGTGCTTATCTGTCCCTTCGGTATTAACCTTACGAAACACTGACACGGTAATATTATAATACAGTATTCCAACTTCATACAAACTGACGAAACGCAAGCTATGCCTACGCGCCTCGATCGTGGCATGCATTCGGCATGATAACAGTCGCGACTGTGCCGCAGTGACGAACGGGCTGTGTCGTTATTTTAACATTAATCAAGTTCAAATACATATTTAATATGGCGAGTAGGATATATTGTGCTGTTTTTGGTAGTATATTTTTGCAAATATTTTCGGTCGCAAATTTATAAGCCCGATTTGATTTTCAAACTTTAACATGTTTTTTTTTTAAATTAAGTCTCTTACCAATCAAAATGCAACACGCATTTTTATTGAACACTTCCTATTCCATATACGAAGTATTTTATTTGTTTGTGTAAAAAAGGGCAAAACTAAATAGAAACAGAAAGTAGGCAAATGCAACTAAAATACTGGAGACGGGCAGCCCTAACGCACGTTTACGTACCGCGCAGCTGTAGATATTTAACTCTGTCATGCGGCTGAGTTACAATACTGTATGATAATATTACCGTGACACTGACTTCAAGTTCTATTTAGACCCCATATTGATGATGCGCACAAAATATAAGTAACTGCTGAAAACATCGATTTATTTACTGGTTTTCATGCAACGTGCCATATTGTAATGCAACGGTACGTAACGTAACTGGTTATGGCAATTAAAATTTTGTATTTATGCAGTTATTACTAATGTAATCGTAAACGATTACAACATTTATTTGATGGACAAACGATTCCTTTTCACTCAGACATACATACATTTCTCCATTAATTAAAATAGAATCTTTTGGAAAACATTTTCAAGCAGAATTTGTCTATTGTACATACTATTCAACTTAGTAACATGCAAGGCAAAACAGCAAGGAATCAGAAAATAAATAAATACGTTTTTATTTCCTACTATCGTCTTTTCTCAATAATACTAATATTTATAATATTTTTATATTTGAAAAGAAATTGATTTCGTTTATTTCATATCCTATATTTTACCATTGTAATAAATATCTATTTAATACTTATGTAGTCCTTACTAACATTTCATAAACATACATAAATATAAATGAATAAATAATAATAATAATCTAATCGATAACAATCTCTGAATAAATACTCAAACACCTAGACTAAAAGTCCACTGCCAAAGCGGACCGTGTTGTTTGAACTACAATGTAAAACGATTAACTTAGGACAGGAAACGAATATGTAAAAATGAAATAATTATAATTACCTATAATCACAATTTGCAGATATTAGCTATTTTTTTTTTACTTTTAATAAATATGGAGACGAACACAAAGCGAAAAAACAAAGCAGACATAAACCACAAATTATATAGACCAAAAGATTGATTGTAAAGGTCATATTATACCGAGAGTAAAACACGAAAACCAAGAGGTTGGGGTATCTTTCTTGTATCGAACTGATGTCGTTTCCTATTACTGTTCCCGGTGTAATACGCACTTGCTTTGACATCTATAAAGAATTTGTGTTAAATCTCAAGTCAACTAAATTTATTTGATGTTACATTCGATCAATTACTTGGTCAGATTTCCTTCATTTTAATTTCAACATCAGAATCGAAACTTTTATACCAATTATATGGGGGTCGGCAAGTCTTACTTTGATTTAGACCTATGTCAGTAGTACTTTATAGTCCTAGTACCTGGATGACCGAGCTTTGCTCAGTGTTTTAGTAAACGACATTTTCTGAAAATGAAACCTAGTTAGATCGATTTATCGCCCCTGAAACGCATTCAATACAATTTCAAGAAATTAGACCGAGCCTGTGATCCGTGATATAAATGTTACAGCCAAAGTGATTAATTTGATAATATTCATAATGACTAGTCTTTAACAAAAGATACTCGTTCAAAGGTATTAGATATATACCGAAGGGTGTATGACCTGGGCTGGGTGTCTTCAAGACACGAGTGAATAGATCGCTTATCATATTCAAATTAAAATGTTCATTAGTTGACAGAAAGTTTTCTAACTTGAGATAAAACACAACTTTAAGTATAATAAATAGACTTACATGTATAGTGGAGGTTCTTGTTTTATAGATAAAATATTAAAATACATAAAAATATACAATAATAACGGCCATTTTCATATTTATTACATATTTTATAATTAATATATAATATGTAGTGTCTCTGGTCGTGAAACCGGCCTCAATGATACTAGAAAAACACATTTAACGGCACTTTTCATGCACTAAGTGTAGAGAGTCCTGTATTAAGCATCTCTTTAGCTTATTTGACACAGATATAGCTTTGAGTGAGTAGCTACTATAAATAATATAATCGTATCGTGCGATGCTTATCTATAGTTAATGATATAACAATAAATATACTATGATACACTTGGGGACAAATACAACGGGACATTTTAGTATTTGCATTTTTCGTTTATCACTTTAGTAGAATAAAAGCACAATCGAAATGTGTTTTATAATTTTTGGACATTGCCGTTTAACATGATGGAGGCATAACATAACATTAACATACTTATAGATAGATGTCCCATTAATTTGTCCAGTAGTGTATGTAATGAGTATTAAATGTAAGTAATTCTTAACATTTGGTGTTCAGCTGTTACATATTGCTTATCAATTGACAATGAGGTGGCGACGTTACGAGTTAGTGGTGCATGCAAGCCCATCAGATATAAGCACCGAACCTGCAAAAAAACATCCGTTTATTTTAGCTGAGGTATAGTAAATTTATATATACATTGTGCCATTAAAACCTTGCCCGATTTAAAAATGATTCATTTAGTTATCTAGTATAATATATCTAAATTTCTTATGAAATAATATTGTAAAGTTTAAGAATTAGTATTCCAAAATAGATGACATCAATAGCCTGTATTTATCGATGTCTTTTCAGCATCTGTATCCAAATGCCATTTAGCGCTTGTCTACTTGTAGAGTAGAAAACTAAATTATATGGAATTGACGTAAATGACACTTGCCAGTGTCATCCCCATACATTTTGATTTCTACTCTCTCTGTAGACAAGCGCTAAAGTGGCGTTTGGCTAAAGGCACTGATCGGAAAAGGTTTTAATAACAGGCTGTATATACAGAAGAGACGAAGAGAATAGTTATACCTTGGGTAAAGTTATATATAGAGAAGTAGAAAATTGTAGGTAAAAGATTCGAGTTTACATATTACATAATATATTATACATGTATATTTAAGTACATAAAAGTAGAATAGAAGCATTTCGGACAAACACAGAAGGATAACAAGTCTTTTTAAACAGCCATGCATACTTTTATAGAGACATTTGGAAGATGGCAGTAAAATATAATTATGTATATTTGGTAGACGATAATGTATTGTAGGCGACATACAACACTTTCGTGCATAATGCCTAATAAGATAAAACTCGTTGCATGCAAAAAATCGTGCAGAAAACTTACATACTCACCACAAGACATAAAAAGCAAGCATTGATTCAGCTTTAATCTTTTAAAGTGCAGTTTCGTTTAAATCAGTGTCGAATCACACTTAGATTTATAGCAATATGTGCTTTAAATTTTAACATTTACGGTGCAAAATAAAAAGTATACTAAGCGACTTTATACACAAAATACACACCTTATCTTAAAAACATCCCAATAACGACCTAAATTAACAAAACATCAGAGAAAGATATAAGTAGTTTACTACTTCATTTAAAGGACTTTAGGCATTTATTTAGAATTCAGATTAATTAGTACTTACAAGGGAAATTGATTTTAAACACACTATTTATAAGGTAAGAAAATCGTTTGGCAATACACTGTTGAAGTTACGATCTTTTCTTTTTAAGTGTAGACGATTGGTTTGCATGTGTATCAAAAATATTTTTCTATTGCAATGTATATTTTAGGAACTATTTCATATCACTTTGTAGTTGATTAGAATAAGTTCAACAGTGTATAAATAATGAAATAACAACCACGAGTCAGTGTGATGGTTGATTACAGTATGAAAAAGTTTCAAAGAGGTTTGCATTCAAAATTCAATAAACCGAAGAATCAAACCTCACTTCAATACATGTTGGTTCAACAAGAGGTTTATAGACATTTAACTATATCCATTTTAGAACAAATTTCAATAAAATAAACTGCAAAATCTATTAATTTTGATAATACACACGGCAAGACAAAATTAAATATGGTTGGAATTTTTTTTAACGTTTATCATACATATTAAATGATTTTTCTAAACTTAAAAAATATCCCGATAATGAACGAATCTGAATGAATAAAAAAAAAACTTGAACATAAAGAGGATACAACCAATATTCTCATTTTGAATTTGCTCTATGGTGGATGAAACAGGATGGTCTCCTACAACCCATAGATTTACCTGACTCTCGAGTGTAGTGCTGCCCTCTCCTCGGAAGGTGTGTCCCTGAGGAATGTGGAAGACAGGTTGAGGACCACCATGAGGCAGCAGAGTAGGAGAGGGCCGAGGATTGCACCTTCAGGTCCCAGGTAGAATATGCCGCCGGCAATGGCTAGACCGGTAACGTAAGGATGTCCGCCGCTAAAAAATATAATGTAAAATTAGACTATAAAATACTTCAAGGCATCTTATTAATATAACTCAAACAACTAGTAACTGCCAAGTCTTGTTGATTGACAATTAGACTAACAAAATGATTTCGTAAACAAAACACTGAACAGAATGTCATAAATATACTTACTCTTTTATCTCAGCGTAGACGGCAGCATCGAGGAAAGCTATGGGAGCTGCTTGCGCTATGGGTAGCAGTAACGCAGCCATAGGTCTGCCTTGCAGCCAAACGTCCAGCGCGGCCGGTATACCCGCCAGGTATGGACCCAGGAACGGAGCTGCACCTAATACGGCTGCTAACACTGCAAACAATGCTTGGATATTTAGAATTTATGACACAAGCGATTGGTTGCGTTTTACGAAATAATAACATAATCCCTTTTAGTGACATTTGAACCCATTTGTTTTTAGATTATAAAAAAAGTAGAAATGATCAAATAAACATTATACTAATGGATCAAATCATATCGTAATCAGGTAAACGGTTAAGTTCATGCATAAAAACAATGTGACTATATCTGCAGATACTGCTCCCAGGTCAATTGAAACGATAAGTGTCGATATAACGTTTATTACTATTATTATTGGTAATAAATCAACAATTAAGTCTTCTTCTTCTTAATTTCATTTTGCCTCGGTGGTCGTAATTGTGCGTATACATATTTGTAAAAGTCTAAAGCTTTTTGTCTATCGTACGCCACATTATTCCTGCACTGTGCACCGACGCAGCGGTTCACGTACTCTTCTGGAGGCGACTTTGTTTCTTCCACAGGTCTTTTCCGAGATGAGCTCGTACTTCGCAGCGTTTCTACAAAGTCTTTAGAAGAATCGAAGACAACTTTGATAGCTGTTCTGTTAGTCATGTTCAAGTGCGTGTCCTTGAGAAGATCGTCCTTATTCACTGCTGTCATGGCGGCACTCGCGTCACCGTTTGGCGAGTTAGCCTGACGTATCAAGTAGAACGTTGGGGCTGGCTCAGTGACGTCTTCGTCAGTTGTCACCTCATTATTATGTTTGTCACTATACATTAAACACATCACTCGTGGGTCCAGAATCAAGTGACACATGTCATTCTCTTGTAATATTTTCACAACATCCACGGGCAGCGTGCACGGGGCGAATAGACAAGTGTTGTTATTTGAAGTATCTAAAATTATGTTGTTCAATTCACTGATAGTGTTTAGAAATGCTATATTTCTACATTGACAGTCAATTCTGTTGCTTGTAAAAGTGACTGCGGTTCCAGCAGTTTTGCAGCTACCAAAGTCAAATGTTGTGGAGTGTGGTTCGATGTTTGCGATTCTGTTGTGAGCGAAGTTAAATTGTTTGTTACTGCTCCTTTTCCTTAGACATTTAATGCTGCTCAGTGCGCTAGTTTTCAGTCTTGTGATGTCATTCTGAAGAATGTCTGTGTTGACAGATTTAAGTACTAGTCCATTTGCACGTATTTCTTTGAAGCTATTGCCAGTGATACGTAGACTATCCGCAGTTATGTTGACCGCTCCACTGATTATGTCATTGAACGTAGTCTCTGTTAGAGAAGCAGACGTGCTCTGTACAGCAATTCCTTTAAATTCTATGTTTCCGATCCTACTATTAGTGATAGTGAACATCGAGTCAGGGCCCATAATAGCCTCTATGGCTTGATTGCGTACATCTGTTATTGTAACGTTATCAAATTCAATACTTTTTATACCAGTCACATTATAAATTGCTCTAGTGTTTATCGAGTTTATTTTGCTGTTAGTCACTCGTATTTTTTTCAATGTTGTTGCCCCGAGACATTTTAGCTCAGTTGTAGTGCTTGGAGACTTAAAGATCTTTCTTGGCAGCGATATCACTTCCTTGACATTGTCTATGGTGACTTCAGGGGGGGTTTGGAGCAAAGAGGATGCTGATAAAGATACAAACTCTAGTCTCTCGCAGTCTTTGACTTTGAACCGTTGTAGTTGAGAAGTTCTCTGTAGTATCGGACAGTCCAGGACTACTCGTAAGTCTCTACAGTTTTGGACGGTGACACTTGTGATATGATCTGTGTAGTAGTCCTTTAGGTGAATTATGTAGTCCTAAAACAAAATGACAAATGAAGTCAAACACTATTTATAAATCCAAATAAAAGTGGAGTTTGTGTTTTCAAATCGTCCCTACAAGAACATTTAACTTTCATAAACCAAAATTGAACACACAAAACTGACATAAACAAAACAGTACTCACATCGTTGCCGACGCCGCAGCTGTAAACCAATTCACTGGGCAAGTTATTGAGACAGGCCCACTCAGGGTCTTGGCAGCTCGTGAAGTTGATCCTGATGCTCAAAGCCGAGTGCACCAGCACAGCAAACAACACAATGTTCCCGTGTGCCATCACTGACACATGCTTCCCAACACAGACACTATACACGACGCGCGCGCAGTAACACGTCCACAAGTGAACATTATCCCGAGATAATTCTCCGCTAATGTGCGTTCGTTTGTCAATTTTATCGGAAAGTTTATTGACTTTGATTTTTTTTATTATTATTGTTAGTATGGTTTACATTACATCCGTATTATCGTATTCATTACTCTAGTTGTAACGGATTTTGGGTATTCCAGTTGGGATTTTTTAAACGCAGTTGTTTTGTTTGTCACTATTTGTTTTTTTTTTTGTTATTTTGTTGTGCTTTACTGTAGGATCGCTAGTAACATAATGTCTGCCATTTTATCTCCGCTTGTAATAATATACTAAGGTCACGTTTGTTGATACGCACTAAATTTAAATTGTGCTGTCCCTGGCCTTTACGTGATAAGGGCATGTTATAAGGATAATATTTCAGTGGGAACTCCGCGCTATTTTTTTTAAGGGGTGAAAATCATCGAATGGCTGCTCCCGCCTGGGTGAGGCGCGAGGGAGTGTCAGACTCTTACTGACTAAAAACCACCCCGTTTCTTCTTCTGCACGTCGAGCCGGAGCCCTGGTAACCCATTAGGTTATTCGCGACTCCGAATCGGCATCGGCCCAGTTGGGCCCCATTCGTGGTGGTCTGATGGCTCTTTGAGGCGCGCGCGGAACGTGACGCGCCGTACGCTCGAGTCTGTTTCTGGTCGGACGGGGAGCCATGACGACGACCCATGCTCGCCGTCCGCAGGCCCGCGCTTACGGTGGCCGGAGATCGTCCCGCGATCCCCGACGCCCGGTGTGTCCTTCGCGATGGCTGGGTTGCGAGGAGGCAGCGCTTCGCTGCCTCACGCGTCCCGCCTCCTTAGCTAGCATAACTCCGCGATATAAGGTTCATATTTCTTTGACATGTCGATATGTGATTTTAAGATTGTGGACTTCTAGTGCAATTCAAAAATGCACCTTAAAGACTCTCTGTAAAGTTTAGTTAAAAGAAAGTGCTCTTGCAAATATGTACTACGACATATTTCTTTTTTCTTATATGAACTAAAACTGATTAAGTTTGGTGTACCAATAATCGCTAGGGACCACACAATTCATCATGCAATTAATTTGCACAATATTTTCTGACTTTATAGATAAACTTAGGTTCAAGGTAACACGAATGTCGAAATCCTAAAAACAATTTACGTTTTGGGTTAGTCCGACTAAGCACCAATTATATTATTATTTTGATAAATTACGTAACTGTTATTAAACTCAATATATAAAAAAATATAATAATAATAATACGAAACGGTTAGCTAATTAAATGTCAGAAACGTACTTCGGATGACGTTAAACAGTGACGACCAGGGGGGGTCAGCTAAAGATATTATGAATAGATTAGGAAAATATAAGAAATGAGTTTATCATAATTTATTGAAGAAATATAAATATCTATAAAGCATCAAGGTACAATCAAACGACCTGAGCAGATGAAACTGTGCGAGATTAATAATAATCATAATTAAAGTTTTTACCTGATGGTAAATAAACGACTTTAGCGCCAAACAGATTGTGTACCAGCCACGTCCATAGACCATAGAACAAGGCCATCTTAAATGATGCTCGGAATACCTGCAAAAAATAAATGTATTGGATGAGAGAGTCATGCGATGAGAGTTAATACACGAGAAAGTTGATAGCTAGGTAGCTATTTACATGACTTTACAAGACTTAATCTTTGATAAATAATTATGATTTATAAAAACGACGCATGCCTTTTGCATTTCCAATTGCAATTGGAATTTTCAGAAACTACTATTTAGTTTTTGAAAGTCAACTTTATTTGCTGTCGATTGATAGAAATATCCATTTATGAAGTATATGCCTGTATATGAATACTGAAACGTTACTCAATTTTAAGTAACTCTAAAATGTCGTGCCATCTCTGTCATTCACAAAGAATTTGTAGAGACAGAATTGGGATGACGACAGGGTATGAAAATTAAAAATCTAATTAGTCCGTAAGTTAGGTATTTAAAAAATATTAGACACGTATTTTTTTATTTTGTCGTATAATAAAACAATACTTAGATAAAACGAATCAAACTTTAGGAGTGGGGGCTAAAACGTCATTTCTACGTATAAAATGAACATAGAAGTGACGTCACGCGACATTTCAAATCTATATATTGTGAAAAGTATTCGTTTCTGTAAGAAAATAAAAAATACGTGTGTAATGATTTAAAATAATCTACCAGACGGATATTAAAATAAAAATTAGTCGTCTACCCTAACTTAAGCGCGACTTATGATTGAGTAACGTTTCAGTATTCGGGTAAAAGTCTTATTCCTAGAAGTAATAATATAGCTGGCATAATTTCAGATACCTAATGAAATACTCAATAACACTATAGCCAACTTAATGAAAAATATTTATGAAAAAAATAACTAGCTTCTGCCGACGACTTCGTTGGCGCAATCCCGTTTTCTCCCGTTCCCGTAGGATTTTTTGAATTTCTTCTGTCATAAGAATCTGCCAAATCGGTCTAGCTATTCTCAAGTTATGGCGTTACAACAGGAAACGGGTTTTATTTATATATATATATATATAGATATTTACCTGGTTAATAGCGACAGAGAGCGCGATGCCGAGTCTAGGTCCAAAGTTAGGCTGAACCTGTGTGATCACCTCCACCGGCTTGTACAGCGCGTTACTGGACGCCAGCAGGTAGAACAGAGTCGTGAAGAATACAACCTGATTGACAATCATTGTTATTTATTGATTAGCGATATTCAACCTTATGGCGAAATACCAAGGTTGAAAATTGTAGCCAAACTTAGTCATAAAGTGTTAAACATTTATTTACTTATAATTGATTTTATACTTTATTGTGTGGAACTAAGGTCGAAAATCATAATAATATAAGGAAAATTATGAGATTATCGTAGCTTTTAGAGTTGTAGATGAGCAAACCCTGTACCATCTCTCTGGTGTTACTGTCTTAGTTGATTTTTTGTCGTCATACTCGTGAACACTGACAAAGGAGACAAAAAGATAAATGTATTATTTTTATGGTATAGGCCGGTAAACGAGCTGACGGATCACCTGATGGTAAGCAATCGTAAAAAGTATGCTCTAGACCCTAGGACCTCGCTGGACCCGACACAACATCTTTACATTATACTTTATAGGTCTTACTTGACAATACTACACAACTCACCAAATTAATAAACATGTTAATGAGAGCGCTTCCACCGCAGAGTAGCAGCGATGTGAATGCTCCTACTGACCCGGCCAGCAGAGACACGTTGCTCGCCAATGGCGCCCATATACTTGTAGCTATGGCACTTAGAGTACCCACGTTGGCTTGCACCCACGCCACTATGCCTGAGTAGTCGAACATACCTGTATATAATAATAACAACATAATTTTACAGCTTATGATCCCCAAAGATACACTGGTGAAAATTGGGTGTCATATTGGATTTTAAAACATAGTCTCGTAATCACATTAATAGGGTAGTTGCCCAATTTTTTTTAATGTCCGTCTGGTCGATTAATCTAAAACATCAGACACGTATTTTTTCTTTTCTCACAAAATTAAATACTTTCGACGATATATTAATCTGAAATATCGTGTGACGTCACTATGCTCTCACCTCCCACTCCTAAACTTAACTCCATTTTATCTGAGTTTTGTATTTTTTAAACGACAAAATAAAAAAATACGCGTCTAATATTTTTTCATTATCTAACTGACGGACTAATTACATTTTTAATTTTCATTCCCTGGCAACTTCCTTATTGGTAAGTAGCATTAACATTTAAAATAAATTCGAATGTTTCTTCCGAATATCTTGAAATCTGATCCAAGATAATGAAGATTCACAGACATACTTTTGATATTACTCGATAAACTAATTAGACAGAATATAACTATACAACTTGTTACAAGTTGTTACTCTCGTGAGACCAATTTATTAAAGCGTTGGTTGCGTCCTATCACGCCATGCGACTCATGAACATGAGCCTAGGGCCGAGACGCATTGCGCGGCCAAGTCAAAGCCATGCCCAACCAGTCTTTCTAACCCCAACTAACTATGAACGTGAGTAAAGTAAGCCTTAAACATAAAATTAATACCTTAGTATGGAGTAGTTACCTACCAGGTGCATTAGACACATCATTGACCAGGTTATCCCACGAGTCCTGTATCGCAGCGCCGTCGACCTGTGGCCCAACAGTGGACGCGAAGTGTCCCGACACCCAACTCTGGTACACTCGGTCCCATAACTCCAATATTTGTTGTTCAACGCGATTTATTTTCTCTGGATCACCTTCTTTTAGGATACTTTTAACCTGTAGTTGTGAAGAATAAAATATTTAAATTAATATCTTAAGTACTTTTAAGTTTTGGTAATATGCAGAAGGTTTTGGAAGTAGCAGTGTAAAGATGTTTATGTTTTTAGTATTGTTTCCATATATTTATTAAAAATTCTCTATAAATTACATTTTTAAATACTACTTGCAAAATAAAAAAAATAATATTTAAAAATATAAAAAAGTATTGTTATTGTTATAGAGGGCGCGCCTGTCGTTCTGAGCGCTGCATGTTGCAGTGTTGCTGACTTTGTGAAGGTAATCACTGAAAAATTGATAGTCCCTATAATTCTGGATTTCGTACTTCGATCCTTAGACCGCATGTTCAGCATCACTGTTTAATACTTACGCAATTGAGGCAGTAGTATAACTATTGATTTTTTCAGTTAAATTCGGGGTCGTTAAGTTCTAATAGCTTTTAACACGCACACTTCAAGGTCGGGAATTGAACTAACTACATGATTAATTGATTGTAAAATGTAAAAGGCTAATTAGCGCAAACACTTCTAGTGTTAAACTGAAAAGTAAATGTTACGAAACAAATTACTCGAGGTATGTAGTGTAGATACTTGTACAAAAAAAATGCAGTTACAGTACCTAGGTAATTAACTTATTTTTGTTTATTTAAAACTATGCCATAAATAGTATAGCTACATTTCTGATATAGTGAATGTTGGCTGTATACTTCATGTTTTGTGCTAAAAATCGATGAAAAATGAAGTACTTTTAAATGCATATTACAAGTCGAAACCATGCTTTTCTTTTATTCTATAAAACAATTCACACTTACTAAGTTCTGAATCTTTATTACATCCAGAAGGAAGCAGAAAAGAAAAGAACATAAAACATTACATAAAGGACTCTTATTATAATAGTAGTTACATTGTGTAACCAATGAGAGCTTTCGCTTTCAGCTATGATGTAGCGTAAGGTGCTGTTTGTCCAATCAGTGTGGCCGCCAAAAATGGTTTGTCCATTGGCTTCTCTTTAGCAAATATTCAATATTTAATAAGAATAGACAGAATAGTTTTATAACAATTATGTTCTATAGAGTGAGCGGCCTCCTCAACATTGGTTAATCGGTTGACTCTTATTGCGGGTCGATCGGAAAAGAAACGTCTCAGGCACTAAAGAATTTGTCTTCCTAAACAAACCTTATCTAATCTAACAATGATTAGTCAAGTAATTAACTCATTAAATCACTTACCGCAGTAGAGATTCCCTCCCTCCCGTACGTGTATGCGTTATCAATAAGCGAGTCAAGTTTCTCCTCCCATCCTTCAGGTAGATAAGCATGCAATTCGCTATTCTGAACATATGTGCTGTTCAAAAGACTACCGCTCAACTGGACCACTACTATGGCTTCGGAGTATATCTTTAAAAAAAATAAAAGGAATAATTATAAAGGTACTGTTACACAGGCTAATTTCAAGCATAAAAGCATGCTTCAATTAAGTGCTTGTCAATTCGTAGCATGTGTGTCGGAATGTTGCTGAAAATTATCATGCTCATTTCGGGTACGCTTGCGAATCGACGAGGGCGTTCGGTTTTTGAATAGTAGGTATGTATGCTCGATGCCTTTTAGCATACTATTTTATTTTTATTGTAATTGTTGCTGATTTCAGGCATGCTTACGAATCGACGAGGGCGTTCGATTTTTGAATATTTTTGGTTCAATGCCTTTTAGCATACTATTTTATTTTTATTGTAATTGTAGCTGATTTCAGGCATGCTTACGAATCGACGAGGGCGTTCGATTTTTGAATATTTTTGATCATGTTCAATGGATACTATTTCATTCTTATTCTAATAGTAACTACCTTTATAGTGTCTTTCAGTGGTAAATGTTACGTCAATGTGTTTGCGTCAAATAAAATTCAACTTAGCCAATTGTGTGACGTTTTTAAACTGATTGTTGTTGTGATACCGATGATTGTTAGCTTTGTTTACCTGATGGTAAGAATCTGCATTGCTTATGTACATCCGACCAGAGGATTAAAAGGTATGTTATCGGCCTTTTAAAGGAATATTCAGTACATTGAATATGAATCTTTATGGAGCGTTCGCGAAACTATTGCTTTTTCTTATAATATATTAGAAACCGACATATTATTATTAAAATGAAGTAATTAGGTATTACCTACCTGAATAAATATGAAGACGCTAGCAACCGCCAGGAATAATATAAGTCCAACAATGACGATACACGTGGACACAGTATCCACAGAGCTATACCCCATGTCTCGGATGCTAGAATTGCAAACAGACGCCATCTTGCCCAGTCCACGAACGTGCGCTGGCAGTAAAGCTGATTGCCTGGAAAAATATCATAAAAACATGTTAAGGTCAATAAGTAGAGTACGGTTCGTGCGGTGGCTGGGCAACTGGCTGTTGAGCAACGTGTAGCAGGTTCGATTCCCACACAGAGTGAAATTATTGTGTCAGGTCAATCATGTGTATATGAAATTACATGTTTGTAAACCCACACAGGAGAAAATGGTAGTGTGGGGCAAAGTTCAAAAAATGTGTGACCTTTAGATTTTGCTGATAATTTAAGGAAAAATTTACAAGAAACCACGTAGTTTCAGATCAATAAGTAACAATATCACGTGGCTTTTAGACTTGACCGATAATTTTTCTAATTAACATATCGTTTCGGCGTTTCAAGGCCAATTTGATTGAGTCTTATATTAACAGAAACTAGACCAATATTTGCGTGATCCTATGGCGTTTGGTCAGTGAGTATGATCTACCTATTTAAAGGTAAATTATTAGGTACTTATTTAATTTACTAAATTATTCTCATAAAAAAGGAAAAAGTTATAAGTTAAGCTTTTAACAAGTAGTAATAAATTAGACCACTAAACTTGTTTACCTCAATTTCCACCAGCCTTTTATTTTCCCCATAACATTATTATAGTGATTCTCAAAGAACAGCCATACTCCGAAATAGTCCAACAGCCTCTTCATAACATGTATAGCCAGGAAGAACAGAGTTACTGGTAACAACCAGATATGCTTCCAAACAAGCATACAGAGACATCCAAAGAACAGGAGCTTGAAATACAGAGCAGTCTCTTCATCATTGTCAAAGTTATTCTTAATGTAATTCTCATCTAACGATCTTTGCTTGAACGCATTCAAGAATCGTGTGTCGCATTTAATTTTCGGATTCGATAACGGTAGAGCGGATAGTGTTCGAGTTTTAAATAATATTTTCGGGTGGCGTGGAGAACTTTGGATTGGTTCGTTAGACGCCCAACTTCCCCTTTTAACTAAGCCTTCAGGTGTTACTGGAGACGGAGAGTCTTTTTCTGGAGTACTCTCTTGCTCACTGGACTCCATAGCCACCTCTTCAGGTTTATCTTCCACCTTCTTCTCATTATCTTCAACATTTGAAATAGTTTTAACGAATGCTAATATGAGTGACGCTTCTGGATCTGTGTGAAATGTAAATTGATTAAGTACAGCTTCATAGGAAGTGTATAGTGTTAATTATACAATCGATCTTTATTGCGAAAATAAATCATTTACATTTAATAGACATAAATAAAATTAATATTAAATATTACTTAATGAAAATATATACAACTTAAAATATAAATAACCATAAAAATTGACACCTTGAAAAAAAAAATTAATAATAATAATAAAAATGCTATCATAAGGCATAAAAAAATATTTTTAATGCCCAAAAGACTGGCAGCTTTGCCACATTTAATGGCAATGCTAAACCTTTGTCCAAGGTAGTAGCCAGCCCTTCGATCACCTAAAGTGTCACCATCCTCCTTACAATATCTTTGTAAAGAAGATGTGCACTTGGGCCCCACGGCCCTAAAGTTTCAACCCCAAACGGTTCGAAAGCATAATTGCCAATCAGGCTATCATACTTTCGCCGTTTGTGTTAATTTGATTTTTGTATGAGAACATACCTTTTTCCAGTAATTTCTTATGTGCATCAAACACTTGTAAAGTAAAGCCAGTAATGCATATTGCTTGAAGGAACACAAAGGTGTAGACTTGCAGAGATCCTGTGAGACTTGCTATGAAGCTTGAGATGACCAGCCATAGCATGTGTGATGTAATACGGAAGATGGTGGCTCTTTGCGGTGTCCATAGTATGTACACACTAATTATGTAAGCTAAGAATATTGTCAAGGTCTGAAAGAAGAACATACTTACATTACAAGGAAGAATGAGTACAAAACAGTGTGAGCTTCAAGTAATAATATAGTGCCAAAGATGTATTGAATTACAATCAAACACATAATATAACATCACACCTTTTATCCCCGAAGGGGTAGGCAGAGGTGCACACCGAAGTAACACCCACTTTTCACTAATTATGTTATGAGTCCCATGTTATAGGAGGTGAGCCTATGCCATATGCCGGGCACAATTCCAGACTCTGTGCTACTACTGAGATTTTATTAAAAACCCAGTAATACTTTGCCCGACCCGGGAATCGAACCCGAAACCCTTTGCCCGGTAGTCGCACTTGCAACCACTCGGCCAACAAGGTAGAATCAAACCTCTTTGTAAAATTTAAAAGCAAATATAGTAAAATTTCTTACAATGTAAGAGCTGCAGACACTTATCAATAATGTCGTGGAAAAGCTGATGAAACTACTGAGTTGCCAGAAGAGGCAGACTAGACTCCGAGGTACTGCATTGTATAGCCACGGCAACACAAATATTGCTGATAACAATCCTATCACAGTCTGAAATAAAAAAGGAATAACTTTGATTTGCACAATTACAGAATTTACAGACACTAAAATGTTTGCAGATGAATTCATTGATCAGAAATTATATCACAAATAATACCAAAATATTATATACATATTATATATTTAGGTTAAATATTTCTTTTCTAATATTCTAATATAAAGTTTTATAAAATTCCTATAACTTCTCCTATAAACATTGAAAATAGGGTCTATAATGAAGTAAATGCAGACAAATTGTATAATAATGTATAAAATAATAAATACACTACACTTAGACCAGGGTGCTTACTCTTGAAACCAATCTCAATGTCAATGCAATTTCAATCCAATAAAATCTCAATAATGTTTCAATGTTAAAACTATACAACCCCTACCGTAGCTGTTGAAATAGCATTCAGAGTACGGAATATAAAGCCAAACTCAATACCATTTAGTTTATTCAATATCCACGCAATACGGTTGCAATGGACGCTAGTGTTGCGACTCAAGAGTACGAAATTTCACAATGTCAATGTCAATCGATCGGAATTGGATTCAAGAGTAAGCCCCCAGGCCTGCTTCAATGAACCAACAAATCAGCGCACTGAATGTGGTAACAATTCGATTTTGCTAAATACAAACGAACCTCATAATAAACCCTCATTACCGATGTGATATATTTGTAAGGGTAAAACTATATCTTGTTAACTACACATCTATTTTTCTGACTTTTTTTAAGGAGTACAGAAGTAGTTATTTGGTAGTAGATACTAATATTAAATACCAATTTAACAGGTACTATAATACACTTATTACATTGTAAATTTGCTATATGGCATAATACTAAGTACATAGCATATTGGTGTTAGAAAATATTGATGAACTTTCAATAAAAAGTAGATTTCAATGTTTATGTTGTGTACAGTAATAAAACCATAATATTACTTGTACATAAATATAAAGTTGTAATCTATCTGTCGTTTGTAGTAGGTTTTATAATCTGTTACAAATTGAATTTACTAACAAATTGAATACCTAGTTACTTTTATCATAAATTTAATAGCATTCGCAATATCACATTATAATAGATTCAAAAGGTACACAAACATGTTCATAGTTTCCTATGAGGCAGATTATTTTTTACACAGGTTTTGAGAAATTCAAATATGGGAATATCATCTTACCTTGTAATGATCTATAAACTGTTGGCCAACAGTGTCCGAAGCATAGTTAACCACATTCATTGGAATCACCATCAAACCAACTACCACAGACGTGTTCGACTTCTCCAGATCCTCGAACCATGATTTCAGCTTCTTCGAAAGTTTATATTTAAATGGATGGAGCAAAGAGCCAACTAGAAGAGCCCAAAACAAGGGCTTGAAAAAGGGCTCCAAAATTAGAAACAGCACATACACTGCCACACAACATATAGCTAATATGAATAAGGCAAAAGCGTTATAAAACCCATGTTTCATGGGTTTCTCGTTTCCTTCCGTTATTCCTCCTATAATGTTGAATATATTTTCAAAGGGCGACTGCTGCATTGCTTCTTCACTTTAAAGAAATGCACAGTAAAATATTAAAGAGGTAACATTAAAAATGTTTAAAACCTAATAGACTCAAAAACCGCATTTAAATAATTATGAGATCATAGTTTTTATTTGATTTTCGGGAACATTTCAATTCACACACAGTCACGTTTCAGTATTATTTGGTCGTGTCATCAAGTGACAACAGGATAGAATAATATACTTTAGAACATGAGTGAAAGAGATATGGTATGAAAAAAGGGCACATTAAACATTTTACATGTCTATGATAAAAGTGCGGCATTCTCAACGAAATGATCGATGAACTTTGTGCCTGTCACTGTCAGAAGTGTCAAATCAAAACGTCAAGACAGATATCCGTTTACAAGGTAAGTTTTGAACAATTTCAAATAAAATGCGCCTGCATACAATAGTGCCTACCTTCTGTACCTAATGAAACGACTAGGTAGGTACGAATGCGTCAATATTAACGCTCTTTTATTGAATAGGTAGGTAGGTACCTAATATAAATATTGTATAGTTATTAGATACCACAGAAAACTATCATTGCTACGCAGTAACGAAACGTAGGTATGACACGTTCATGGAACTGGCCAATCAGAGAGTTAAACGCGGTTATGTTTTGATCTCATTAAGCGTAAAACAAAGTTGAAGTTAGCCCTAACTTATTGGTTCTATCTAAATAAGTTTCTGCAAGGAATTACGTAGGTTCTTTATTTTACTTATGTACTAGTACAATCAAACATAATCAGTGGATTCGTAAATAGTCGTACTCAAAACTTAGACGACCTATCATTTTGAAGAGTTTAGCACCATTGCTTATATTGGTACCTAATTATCTTAGCTGCATGCCAGCAGAACGAGGAGATACTTTTTATTCATCTGACTTCAAAGTTCAGACATGTCAAATATTAATTATTATACCTAAGTGTATTTCTGTCTACCTATTGCCTAGCAAAGTAGGCGGGTACTACGTAAAGTAGGTTGGTTCAAGGTACATTATAAAATGCTTTACCTAATTCGTTTATCGAATAGAATAGAATTAACGAGTCTAACATTAGGTAGAAAGTGAGTTCTGACATGAATGAATTATATCGTGATAAATGTTTTTTTGGTGATTAAATTACATCATACATCAATATCGGGAATGAAACATTTCTGATTCATTTTTAGAAAACGTACCTACGTTCAAACTATCGGATTCTTTGAAGCTAATCTGTGATGAGAACCATTATTTTTACCCTGTTGAGTATATTAACTAGCACGAGGGCATTGATGAAAATTAATCAATATGAAGATAAAGGACTCACCAGATGTATCACAAAAATGGTAGCCGACATTGATTACAAGAAATACAGCAGATTAATGGACATTACTTTAATGAATGTGAACAATGATCTACAATTGTCAGCTATTCACCAAGTTGAAGGAGCGCGATTTGTTTCAAGAAGATTCTTTTGGGACACTGAAAACATTAGCAACGTTATTTATCTCGTGATGAGTAAAGATTATCTAGAATTAGCTGATGGATTGAGTAAAGTAACTTCTGATAAATTCTGGAATCCATCTGCAAGGTTTATTATTGTCGTGCAAAATGTGCAGAAGCACAGTTCACATAACGTCACTGATCTACTTCACACGTATAATATATTTCGTAAAGTTTCAGTAATATTTCGAGATGGCGATGAATATGCTATTTACAAATATAACCTTACGAAGCCTGGTTATTGTCTGAAAGCTGGTCACCTCAAATTTTGGTCACGGTGTTCTGATTACTGCTCTGGAAAAATGATACCTCCAATAAATATGGGAACTATTCGGGGATGTCGTTATAAATTTATAGCACAAAATATGTGGCCGTTTACAAATTTCGATACGAACCTCAAAGGAACTGAACAATATATTATATCATTATTTCAAAAACAATATGGAGTGAAAATTGATCTACTAGAATTTACCAAAGTTAACAAATTCGGGAAGTCTATTGACAACTCATCATTGATTATGATTGAAGAAGTCGAGAACAACCGAGTCGAAGGAGTCGTTGGAGGGTACGCGATCGATTATTTATATGACGGTAAAAATATCACTCACTTGTATCCCATGACAATAGATTATGTACGAACTATTTTAGCTCGTGCTCATTATGTAGACCAATGGTCAGCCATTTTATCGCAGTCTTTAAGCACTTTTATTGTAATCGGCCTTCTGTTTGTAATATTCTGCTCTGCAGCTATATTCTTATCATTATTTCGTTCACAGAGAGATGTCTCACTAGATATTCTGATTATATTTGGATATTTATTGAATAAAACTGCAGTGAAACGTACAGCCTCTGGATGGCCACAAGTATGTATTTTCACGACTATACTGTTTACGGCGTTTTTAATACCGTATGCAATTCAAGCGAATCTGTTTAGTGTGACTACTAGGCCCGTTCGTGGGTACGAACCGAAGCAATTTGAAGAATTAAAAGGATACACGCCCGTTTTGCATTCTGAATTGCAGCGTCGCAGTGCTTTTATCAATCATTCTTATAATTGTGGAACAAGAATCCAGTGTCTGTTGATGGTGAAAAATAATCCAAAGAAGTTGCTTTATACCTTGATATCAAATCTGCATCTATGGATCTATCAATGGTGGCTGACGGATAGCCACTGTAACTTGGCAATATATTATTTGAAGGAGCCATATGTGACTGTATATAGAACTATGTACGTGCGTCGTGGCTCCGCTTTGATGAACCCTATGAATACTTTTGTGTTACAAATTGCAACAACTGGTATCGTGAGGAAGCATGCATCGGATATAAGTTATCGAGAAAAGGTGAAATGTAAATCACATAGTTCATTTTCTAAGTACGTTCCCCTAAAGTTATTCAATTTTAAATACATATTTATGATCCTAATCGGTGGTTACAGTTTGTCTCTGTTGATATTTATTTATGAAGTTTGGGTTGGATCGCAAAGAAAATTAAAAGAAGACAACTATGTACCTACCTAATGTTTTCATTGTCACTGGACATACTATTAGGTACAAAGTGGAATTTGAAACTTTAAGAATTATGGAAATCACTTGGTACTAAGAATCGATGGTTTACTGCGACGGTTTACTATTAAAAACATTGTAGACGTGTGTTTCGAAGCCAAAAATTTCAATTCTACACAGATCACAGTTAAATAAATATTCAGATATAAATGTATTGTAGCTATACCTATCTAAAATGTATATAACTTGCACTTTAAACAATTGAAATGTCATTATTAAACTGTTGATTGCTAATGCCTCAATCGCACGATACCTTTTAAAAGCACTGGACATATGAACATAGTGATAAATGATGTATTAGCATTTGTTCTATTTGATCGTTTTTTAACGCACCTTAACAAGTTCTTGTGCGAATGGGGCCTCCACAGATCTTATTTACGCAGATGCCTGTTTAAATGGTTGCATATCAGAATAAACACTCCCTCTCGCCTCATTCAAGGCGGGATAAATCATTGGATGATTTTTCCCCTCAGAAAAAGAGCCTCTTGTGCAGCAGTCACGCGACCACCTAAGATTAAAATCACTTAAGAATTTTTAGACTAAAATTCTGCAAAACAATAACATTACTTTACATGTTCAAACGTATGTTATTCAAATAACCAATTATAGGTAATAGATATCTATAGGTAACTCTCTAGGAGACAGGCATGACGTTTTGTAAAGTAAATTGGTACAACAGAATTAAATAATTCATTGGTACACTTTACTCACATTTTTTTTTAAATGTATTAAGTAGTAAAATGATTGATAGTATGTATGTAAGTATAGTATGTTAAGAACATAATAATATTGTGTTACTAAATACATGTATTGATAATACCGGAGGATTTAGTATAAGGATAAAAAAAACTAAAAGAAACGGTAAATATCGTTTCTTTAATTCTTTAATTAAAAATTCGAATCAATATAATGTGTTAGTTGGTTTTCATAAGTTAATAAACAATTCAATAATTGAAAATGAAATTGTATTATTTTGAAAATATCTCTATATTCCTATTGCAAGGGAAGTGCTATTTCTTATGCATAGAAGGAATGAGCATTTATCAAATGGTGATTTTGTGGATGTTGGGTTGTCTTACCGTGATGGTGGTATTTACAAACCATTATTAATTAATTATAAAATCCGACCTATATCCGACTGACGACTGCCTTGTTGGCCGAGTGGTCGCAAGTGCGACTGCCGGGCAAGGGGTCTCGAGAAGTATTACTGGGTTTTTTTATAAATTCTCAGTAGTAGCACGAAGTCTGGAATTGTGCCCGGTTTATGGTAATAGGCTCACCCCCTATTACATGGGACTCATAACATAAATAGTGAAAACTGGGTGTTACATTGTACAGTGGCATTGTATACCTCTGCCTACCCCTTCGGGGATAAAAGGCGTGATGTTATAAAAAATATATTAATTAATTATCAATGTTACCTAACTGATGATACGGCCAATCTGTTTTTTTTTAAACAAAGAAGTTCAACACAGATCAGTAGTTCGATCTATGTCTATATCTGGGTGTTGAACAATGTGACTTGTCCTTAGATACGATGATACGTAGGTACGATGCATAACTACCTATAACAATACGTACTTTCAGTATTAGTACCGTCTAAAATGGTCATTTCCTGTTTGTAAAGAATGCTAAACTAATAGATTTTGTTGAAAGTACAACACTAAAAGCTTACACTATGATTAATGGTTTCAGTCAATCTAAAACATCAATAACTGATAGGACGTTTTCCTATTAGATTAGAAATTGTTTACGATTGAAACGAGTTGCTCCTTTTATTAAATACTTTTATGGCATAAAATTGTGCTTTAACGGCTTGAATGCACCGATATGGGACACAATAGAAAAAACATTCTGTCTCGCGTGGATCCACGTTTAGACACAGCGCGGGTTAATATGGACGTAACTATTTCGAGTTTAATCGTTCTCTGTATATTGGTCTCCGCAAGTGGATTCATATCAAATGACCAGAGTCACGTGGAAAGTTTAACTAATTGTGTTGCAAAAATGTTGCAAGATGTGGAACACAAAAAGTATGACAAGTGGCTAGACGTTACCGTTATGAATATAAATAATGATTTACAATTATCTGCAGTTCACAAAATGAAAAGAGTGCGATTTATATCAAGGAGATTTTTTTGGAATACGGGAAATATTAACAATATGATTTATATCGTAATGAGTGAAGACTATAAAGAACTGGCGAATGGGTTGAATAAAGTCACCCACGATAAATTCTGGAATCCATCCGCAAGGTTCATCATTATCGTGGAAAATATGAAGGAATACAGTTTACATAACGTCACTGATCTACTTCACACATATAATATATTTCGTAAAGTTTCAGTAATATCTCGAGATGGCGATGAATATGCTATTTACAAATATAACCTTTCGAAGCCTGGTTATTGTCTGAAAGCTGGACACCTAAAATTTTGGTTACGATGTTCTGATTACTGCTCCGGAAAAATGTTACCTCCTCTAAATATGGGAACTGTTAAAGGCTGTCGGTATAAATTAGTAGCACAGAATTTGTGGCCGTTCACAAATTTCGACTCTAGCATCAAAGGAACAGAACAATACATTATAGACTTATTTCAAAAACATTATGAGATCAAAATTGATATACAAGAGTTTACCAAAGTTAACAAATATGGAATTCCAGTAGGTGACCAAAAACAAATTATGCTCAAAAAAGTTGAGAGCAATGAAGTCGAAGGAGTTGTCGGAGGATATGATATTAAAGACGCCTATTCTGGTAACACTTCTCATTCTTATCCGATGACAATAGATCACATGTTTTATATCTTGGCTCGTTCTGATTTTGTAGATCAATGGGCTGCAGTTTTGAATCAGTTTTTCACAACTTTTATAGTGATTGGGATCATTTTTATTATATTTTGTGTGGCAGCAACATGTTTATCAATTTTTAACACAAGAAGAGATATTACTGGCAATGTTCTGATTGTATTCGGGTACATATTGAATAAGAATTTTGTTAAACGGACTCCTTCTGGATGGGCGCGAACATTAATTTTCTCCAGTTTATTGTTGACAGGATTCATAATTCCTTATACAATTCAAGCTAATTTATACAGCGTGACTACTCGACCTGTGCGTGCGTATGAACCCGAGGATCTAAAAGATTTGAAAGATTACCGCGCATTTTTGTACACGGAATGGCACTATAAACATGAATTTAACCAGTACTCTGATTGTGGAACAAGGCTCAATTGCTTACTACGAGTTAAA